AGCGACATGACAGAGGCATGATAGAAGCATGACAGAGGCATGGCAGCAGCTAACACAGTCTGAAGCAGGCGAGCTGCCAGGACCCTCATTACTCACTTGGAAGAGGCGTCAGACTCTAGGACGGTTGGAGGAGACCTCAGGGAGGACAGAAAGGAAAGGAGCCCAAATAAAATCTGAAGTGGCAGATGGTAGAACTATTCTTGTTCGTCATGGATCTAAAACTGGAGCAGGAAACGACAGTTTCCACCTTCGTTGTGTCTAACGGGTGTGTTTTGTCTCACTCTTGCTTCTGATGTCTTTTGTCAGGGCTGATGGTCGTAGGTGGTCTTTGGCCTCGCTGCCTTCTTCAGGTTATGGCACCACCACACCCAGTTCAACGGTAGGTTCAGTCAACAGAAGACACTCTGAGCTCCGTGCAGCTGATCCTTCTCAGATTCATAAAGAGCGTTTTTGTTCATCTGCTCTGGTTTGGGGGTGAAATCATTCCTGGGGAAACTTTGTCCCTGACAGTGTCTTTCATCCCAGTCCTCCTGTGATGAGCTGCATCACTACACCATTAGTGCCACGATTCACTTATTGTGGTCCTAAAGCAGCAAAACTTAAGTTCCATATGTGTTTTATGACTTTTTATTCTTTGTGAAACATTTTCAAGTCTGAAGTTTTGGGACCTACAGGTTAGCTTGTTGTCTTCTTGGTGGAGCTCGTGTGTTTGGACTTGGAGGAATGAATATTTCTGACTCGTTGAATAAACCTAGAATTTCTGTCTTATTTATGCCAAGTTTTATTTCCAAGGAAGGATGTCGTCGACGTGACCATAAAAATAAACAGCAAAAGGCTGAAGGGTGATAATGTCTTTGCCTGTGTTTGTACATGTGTTCAGTTCTGCATCATCTTAACAAAATATCTCGTGAACCACTCGGCGGATTTTATTGAAACTCTCAGAAAGTAATCATTGAATGAACATCTACAACTGATTACCTTTTGGAAACGTCCAAATTCAAAATGGCCACTACAGCCCACTGAACTTAGAAAACATAAAAATAACTGTAATTGAGTTAGTTTGACAGGTGCGCTAAGTTTGGTGTGGTATTTGCCAAGTTTTATCACCAACATACATCTTTGTTTAAAACTTTAGCAACAGTTGCTCAAATCTGTCCTAAATATATCAAGAACCACTGGACTGATTTCAATGAACTTTTAGATATTAGTAAGTGTATAATCATCAATAACTGACAAACGTTTGAAATCAACCCAGTTTAAGACGACCACCATCTAATCACCCTTATCCAACACAACAATTCCTTTAACGTCGTCAAACTCACAGATGTTGGGTTAAACACTGGTGTGGTAGTAGCTGACAGTCATTCACAATGCATGTTCCAAGTGCTTAAAGATTGCAATATCACTTGAGATCGTGTGTCCTGTTATTTTCAAGTCTTGACCCAAATTGGCCATGGGTCGATCTGGGTCAACATAGTGGACTGCCTCAAACGAGTCGGTGGGGGAGAGGGCGGACTCCAGAAACCATCTGAGCACCATCAAACTGGTCGACCCACTATGTGAAGGTGCTTTTTATAAGACTGAGTTTGTTGTGGCTCAGACTGATGAAGTCCTTTGGATGAAAGATGAAACGTTTCAACAAAAGAACCCGTCCAGAGGACCTGACTGAACTTTGTTGGATTTTTTACCTGGATTATTGAGCATGAACCAGGATGTACATTTAACAGATTTTAAAATTAAGCTACTATCAGACCAGCATAAGCTGTGAGTGTCCAGCACAGAAGAGCGATGTTACATGTCAGCTGACCTCATTTACTTTATACCTTAACCAAAGTGGCAGTGCACCAGAACCTGGACTGATGTATCCGTCAGCTCCGATTCCAGAAGTCCTGGTGTGTTCAAAACCTTCTAAAACCTGAAAGAGAAAATGTCTTTGTTCACACTTCTAACGGACTCAAAGCAGGTGAGCTGGCAGGACTGCGCCCCACATAAATCACTTGGAGAAGGCAGCAGAGTTTGTAGGAGGCCTCCGGGAGGATAAATGGAGCAAAAAATGTAATAGAGCTGAGGAGAAGGGGCGGTGGAATTTCTATTTTAGTTTAATGGGAAACCAGTGGTGGCAGCTAGTTAAACTCTTGATGAGATTTGGTACCGTGAGGATTGGTAAATTCATGTTTCAGACTTCCATGGATATCACGTCAGTCATTAGGTCTTCCACCATATGGTTTGTGTGTGGGACCTTGTTGATGTAGGTGGACCTGCAGTCATTCTAATACCCCCCCCCCCCCCCATATACAACTTCCACTTCCAGTTCCTGTGATTTGCCAGACCTGAAGGCAGTATCCCTGGCTTTCAGCAGGGTATGAACCTCTGCATTCAGCCAGGGTTTCTGGTTCAGCTAGCACTTGTTGTCCCACTCCCCTCAGGAAGGAGGTTGAGGAGCATTAAGTGTAGAACCACTAGACTGAGGAACAGCTTCTACCCTGAGGCTGTTAGACTCATGAATCTCTAACCAGAATAATCACTGTGAAAAATCACATCATGTTGCTGCTGATCTGTTTCATGTTGCTGCTGATCTGTTTCATGCTGCTGCTGATCTGTTTCATGTTGCTGCTGATCTGTTTCATGTTGCTGCTGATCTGTTTCATGTTGATGTGTTCATGCGTGCTCATCTGCTCACACAGACTCATGTTCGTGATGCTGTTCGTTGTATTGTTTATTTATGCTACTAGTGCTTGGTGTATTTTTAGCTGATGTCTTAGTTCATATCTTAGATCTTATTACTGTTTTTCTTTTACATTTTATTGTTGGATGTAACGGGGACCCATAGTCTCGTTCCACCACATGTACCACGTGTGGTGTGTAGGTCAAATAAAGAAACTCTGACTCTGACACTTCACAGTCCTGGTGGTGGTGACATCATCAACACACTTGCTCATGTATCCCAGGACAGCAGATGTTTATTCCTCCAGATCCAGTTCTCCCTCAGTTACAGCAGCCTGCCTGAAGATCTTCCAGTCTGTACGTGTTAAACAGTCCTGCAGTACAGCGTCACTGTCGCTGGGCCACATGGTGACGGTCCTCTGTGTTATATAAATAAACTGAATTGAATTGAATTGGTCTGGAACGTCACCAGGGGGAGGTAGACAGGGGCCAGATGGAGATGTGGTCAGAGAGGCTGAGGTGGAGCGGGGTACGGCTTTGTCTCGTATGGTGGTGTAAACCTGGTTGAGTGTGTTATTTCCCCGTGTTGGAATGGTCACATGTTGATAAATTCTTGGCAGAGTGTCTTTCAGGTTTTCTTGGTTAAAATCACCAGCCACCACGTAAAAAGCCTCTGCTTGTTTTGCAGCAAACTCATATTCTCATGTATCTCCTGCAGAGCATCTTTAGCATTAGCATCCAGGGCTATATCGACAACAATGATAAACACAGCTGAAAACTGACGAGGTAAATGATGTGGTCGACATTTCACAGTCGGTTGTTCTAAAGCCTCGGAGCAGGAACTGTTTATCAGGACACAGTTTGTGGACCAACCTTTAAGATAAGCTAAGCTAAGCTCAGATAAGATAAGATAAGATAAGATAAGATAAGATAAGATAAGACTTTATTGTCCACCAAGGTGAAAATTTTCCTTCGGCTCTCCAACCATGAGATAAAACTCATTCATACAATCAAAAATATCAACAATTTGTGCATTGAATAAAATACTTTGCATTCCACAGATAAAAATTGTCATTTGGTTTGGTTAAGAATGGTTATTGCACTCAGAATAAATGACCTCTTATAGATGTTCTTCGTTGCCAGAGGGACCCGATAACGTCTTCCTGACTCAGAGGTTCAAACTGACAAAAAGAGGATGGGTGCTATCTGCTAAAATATTCCTTGTCTTCTTCCTTGTTCGTTCTGCAAACAGTTGAGACTGAGCTTTTTGTGGTTTCCCCACTATTTTACCTGCCATTGAAACAATTCTTGAAAGTTAGTTTTTAGTCTACAGCTCAGATGAACATACCAGGCAGGGAGGTGAAAAGTTAAAATTGTGTTTACGTAGTTGTTTGTTTACGTCGAGACACACGCCGTCTCCGTGTCTTCCCTGTTAGCTTCCTCCAGCAGTCCGCCCGAAAAAAGTCTGTTGTCCAACTGGAACGTTGAATCTGGCATGTGTCAGGTCATCTGGACGGTTTCTTTTTTTTTGTGCTGAGACGTTTCGCCCTCCATCCAGAAGCTTCATCAGTCTGAGGAAACACCAAACTAAACTGATTCTGCACCAACAGCTTACTCCAAAGTGGAAAAAAAACAGTTATGTTGGTGCTAAGATGGTCTCTGGTGCCCGCCCTCTCCCTCATCAACAGTCATGTCAAACTGGTTCAAAACACCAAAGTCCATGCTCAGTAATCCAGGTATACAATCCAACAATGTTCAGTCAGGTCATCTGGACGGTTTTATTTTTTCAGTCCGGCATGTTGTTATGGAGCCATGTCTCTGTGAGACAGAGCACAGCACAGTTCCTCGTCTCCTCTGAGGCGCTCGCCCTCAGTCCAGCAGATCCAGCTCGTTTTCAAAACCGTGATTGTTGGACAAGAAGAGAGACGGGATCGGGCAGTCATTAGCATTAGCATTAGCCTTCAGTCTTGCTAACACACCGGTCTGCCTCCCTCTTTTCTTTCCCCGGGCACAGCGCCTCCTCTTCCCATCAGCGCGCTGCAGCTTCCACGCTGCTGAGCGTAGTCTTCAGATCCTTGTTGATCGCTGCTGCATCCGGAGTCAAACCCTCTCAGTTCAGCTATAATTCACATGTTTAAGGCGAGTGGAGTCGGGCTCCGAGCCGATTTCTAAACTAATAAAAACTGGGTTTTCACCGGGAGCTCGTGAAGCTGCAGCTCGGGCGAGAGCGGCCATCTTGGCAAGCAAGTCAAATTTTAGCGAGTCGAATCGGGTCTTCTTATCTGACCATTTCGTTGTTGACCCTGTGTTAACCTGCACATGACAAATAAACAACATGACATAACCGAAGACTGAAAAACATTGAAATTTTCTTATCATGCATCTAAAACAGAAAAAAAACTAATCAGAACCCCAGAACCCCAGAACCAGGACAATCCGTGGAAGGACCTGGCAGACTTTTGCAAACTGGCCCAGTTTCACACCAGCACCCACTGGTCAGTCAAATGGGCCGTGGAGCTTGAGGTGGATCATGGACTGTTGAACAAAATGTAAATGTGGAGAAGCTGAGTGTGAAGGGAACCTCACGGCTGCTCTGCATGTTCCTCATGAGTGTTAGCAGGAACCACCCTCTTCTTTTTGTGCAAACATGGACGCTCCAGTTTAACAATGAAAACTGTCCTCCGTGTGCATCTGGTTGTGTTTAAAAGACTTGTCCTTTGTTATTTCAAAGTGCTTTACTGTGTCTGTGCAGGTGTAGCTCAGGTAAAAGGTCTTCTCCAGGCGTAGCACAAAACATCTGGACCTACTGGTATAAAAGTAAAAGACTGTTTAAGTGTTTCCTTTAAGTGCTTCCTGTCAGAGGTTACAACAGGACTGGACACAGCAGAGGCCTCAGCTCTTTGTTGCGTAGAATTACTGCTGCCAACATGATCCTTTCTCACATCTGAGATTCAGCTGACCACGTGTGTCCTCCTAACACAAAACTTGAAGCTATCAGACCCGTGCCAGTAGATCAGTCCTCCTCCAGCGCTGTGTGGATGTGAAAATACACAGATCCAAGTTTTCATCTGCAGTTTAGTTTTAAAAAACAGGAAGTCCGACTGCAAGAAAGAGAGAAGGATTTGTGCCATATCATTTGTTTTATTCATTACATGTAACACAGACGTCTGAGATCAGTCTCTAATGGTCTATTTTTGATCGTTTTTATGAATGTGTTTGCTATTCAAAGAATTCATTTGCATAAATTTTAATGTATAAACCAGCAACAGAGCTGATGAACTCATGTGTTGAAGTCTTGCCCTGGAGTGATGACGGTTGCAACAAAATGTCATTCCTGCACAAAAACACACGTTCTTGTATCTTTGAGTTTGTTCTGGGGAGTCGGGCGAATATTTTAAAGCTTTTGACTTGCAAGGAACTCTAAAGAAGCAGAACTGAAAGGAATCAGTTGCTAAGATATGATCGACCTGATTCATGTGCAGCAGAGATAATTGAAAAGAAATGCTAGATTTTATTTCTGCCTTGCTGTTTGTCCATCCACGACTAACTCTCCAGAGAGCCAGAGAGGGATGATGTAAGGGCCAACTGAGACAGATGAGGGAGAGCGGCGGTGCTAATGAAATGTGAACTGAAGCAAACACGGAGACGATAACAACGTTCACTTTTGTCTGAAAGTAAATTGTTTGGAGCACAAGAGTCTTCCCTGAGAAACGAGCACTGCTCAGGTCCATTTGGTAAAATGTTCATTTGGGAAATGGACCTCGATGCACGCGACTGTCAGCTATAATCCACTCCTCTGCATCTTCTCCGTGTTTCACATCTCTGCTTTCACTGCCCACCCCTTCTGGACCCCCCCTGCAGCTGCACGTACGCTGGGAATATCATGGATCTCTTTATTTAGTGGTGAGATGAGATTTAAGATGGCCGCCATGTTTTCCACACTCTCCGTCTCCAGCACACCTCTCCCTCCTTTCACCCCATCAGTGTTCACCGCTCTGCTGCTCCTTACATGGACGGTACTTTCTTGATTAGTTCCTGCGAGACGATTTCATGCTGAATAAAAGCAGACGAGCAAAGTGTGTCTTTAAAGTTATTTGTCTGTGGAAAGAAAAAGTTCAAGTGAAGCAGAAGGCTTCAGGCTCTGGGTGGAGTGTCAACAACATTTGAGAAAAGCAGAAGTGAAGTATGAAGAACAGCTTCAAAGATTAAGGAACAAGAAGTGGAGTAATAAAGAGCCTCGTTGCAGCGTGGCACTTTTTATACTGGGACCAACATAACCCTGATGCTCCTGCAGCAAAATGAAAATGTGTGTTCACATCATTTGTATCTTAACTGATCGTCCAGTTGAAATGAACTGACCTTCAGTTGCCAGTAACTGCTGAAATCAGTACATTTTAATATCCATCAAAGACTCTTAAGTAATTAAAATCTTAATTTGCACATACATCAAAGCAGAAGGCTGAAAAAGAATAGTTGCGAAACAGTTGACAGATTTTTGTTAATATTTTATTTTTTGTTGTATTAATAGGATTCACATGATACTTATTGTGGATCAGGAGAACATCATAGCTAAGGTTTACTAAACCAACTAAATTAGCGTCTGATCGTACTCTCGCTAAAGTCTTCCGGTAAAGAGTTGAGTTCTGCTGACATCTGCCATTGAGCAAGTCAGTGTCGAGTTTCAGGAGCACAATGGAGAAGATGAGAAGAAATGTCACAGGGTGCTTTTAGAAGAGGCATATGATAGGACACCACCAGAGGACCTGTGGTTCTGTATGAGGAAGTCAAGGTAGGACATATACAAGAACATCAAGACTGGTGAGATCTGCAGTACGAGTGAAAGATAGGTTTAAAGTGGGAGTACATCAGGGATTAGTACTGAGACACTTTTATGTCTGCAGTAGTGAGTTTAGATTAACAGATTAGGAAAGGCTGGTTTCCCCTTGGACTATGCTGCCCTCACATTTCAACTTTAGTGAGAATAGAGAGCAGGTGGAAGAGAGCCTAGAGAGGTGAATGCATGCTCTGGAGAGAAAAGGAATGAAGGTGTGAATGACAGAGAGGCAGGCATGACAGTGAATCTGTATGAGGTGGATAAATTTATGTACAAGGGGCCTGGAGACCACTTCCACCACAAATCCTCCTATGTTCAGGTCAGGGTGTTATTCCTTCTGAAGTCCACAATCATCTCCTTCATCTTCTTCACGTTGATGTGAAGGTTGTTCTTCCTGCACCAGCTCTCCAGGTGTTCCACCTCCTGCCTGTAGCTGGACTCATCATTGTTTGTGATGCATCCCACCACATCTGTATCATCTGCAAACTTTACAATGTGACAGTCTGGATGGGTAGGTGCACAGTCATACATGAGCAGAGTGAACAGGAGGGGGCTCAACACACATCCCTGAGGGGCTGTTCTTTCTGCCTGGGGTCTTTTTTCTACTATTTTCTGCTAATTTCCTCTTTTCTTTCTGTTCAGTGCCCTGAGATCTCTTCTGCTGTAAATAAACTGAACTGAACTGAATTTAGCAAAAGATCCAATTTATGTGATCATCTGCTTATTTACACCTAATACTGTTTTTCTGATTTGTTTTGTTAAATTAGGCTTGTTCTTCCATTTCAGCTACATTTCAGCACGTTTTCAGCAACAAGCATTCACACTGCAGTTTCCCTCGTTTTGTTTTGTGCTCCTGCGTTCATCCCTTTGGGGTGTTTTCTCTCTTTTTGTTCTTTGACTTTGGTACTTTCTTCCTTGTGCTCTCCTCTCTTTGTCTGTCTGGAGCTTTTCGGTTACTGCTCTGGATCTGTTCTAAAACTGTTGCTCCGTCGAAGTATTTAAAATCAGACAGAGCAGGTTCACGTTTTAACCTCCGTTTCTTTTTGCCTCTGATCTGCCTTCAGTCGTCCAGCTCATCTCAGGAGCGTCTGCACCAGCTGCCCTTTCAGCCAACCATGGATGAGTTGCACTTCCTGTCCAAGCACTTCGGCAGCACGGAGAGCATCACAGACGATGACGGCGGGAGGCGTTCGCCGCACGTCCGCCCTCGCTCCCGAAGCCTCAGGTGAGAGCGCGGCAGGCCAAACGTTCATCGACAGTTGTAGCCATTTGGGGTTTGCCTAATTCAGTTGGTTGTAACGGCCATCTTGAATTACGATCACTCCAGAATTAGTCAGTTATACATCTAAAGGTTGTTTCCTGAGGTTGGATAAAATACATTCAGTGAGTTAGTCACAGTCTGGTTAGTCATAGTCTGGTTAGTCATAGTCTAGTTAGTTATAGTCTAGT